ACACAGGAATAGCTAGCTAGCTAGCTATAGCTAGCTAGCTAGCCACTTCTTTAGCTAGCCAGCTCACAATAGGCTCGAGGAGAACTTTGCGGTTGGGGGGAAGCTGGGAGGCGCAGCAAATGGGCTGGAGGCCAGCAGCAGTTTGCAAAAGGTAAGAAACTCTTGCTGCTGCCAGCAGCGTCTGCTGCCCGCTCTCCGCCTCCAGCCTGCAGCAAACCACAAACCCTAAACCCTTAACCCTAAACCCTAGACCCTAGACCCTAAACCACAAGCCCTGACGCCTGGTGAGCCCTGGAGCTCGGCCCCGCGAGCTCAGAAGGAATGCACGCGGGCGCGATGCTGCAGCAAGCAGCAGCAGCAGCAGCAGCAGCAGCAGAAGCAGCAGAAGCAGCAGCAATCGGAGCTGCCGGTGCAGTAACAACAGCAACAACTTAAGCTCCAGCTGCTGCTGCTTGCAGCAACTGGAGCTGCTGCTGCTGCTGCTGGAGCTGCTGCTGCTGCTGCTGCTGTTTGCATCTGAAACTGCTACTGCTGCTGCTGCTGCTGCTGCTGCTGCTAGCAGCAGCAGCAGCAGCACGGGGTTTGAATTCACCTTTGTTTGAAAACCTCCATGTGGAGAGACCCCAAAAAGCCGCAGCGGAAGCCGCAGCCCAAAGCCTGAGACACTGTGGGTTCTGCTGCTGCTGCTGCATCTGTCAGCAGCAGCCGCTGCAGCGCCACCTGCAGCTTCTCGTAGCCCCGCGGGTCTTCGGGGTACAGGTCTGCGGCAAACCCTAAACCCTAAACCCTAAACTCCAAACCCTAAACCCTAAACCCTAAACCCTTAACCCTTGTCCTGACCACCGGTGCAGCCGCGGAATTAAATTTAAAGTTAATTTTGCAGCATTTAAACAAACACTTTGCCGTGCTGCAACGGGATAAGTCCAGCGCCCCAAGTAAGGGCAGCAGCAGCAGCAGCAGCAACAACAACAGCAGCGACATAAGCAGCAGCAGCAACAACAACAGCAGCAGCAGCAACACCAGCAGCAACAGCTCCAAAACCCACCCTCCCCAGAAAGGCCTCCCACAGCAGCAGCAGCAGCAGCTGCAGCAGCAGCAGCAACAAAAGCACCAGCAGCAGCGGCAGCAGCGACAGCAGCAGCAACAGCAGCAGCAGCAGCAGCACAGACCTGCGTAGACGAGGCGTTTGGGGGGCTCAAAGCCTGGTAGGGCCTCCGTGGGGTTTTGGGAGAGACAAAGAGTGTCTCCAATTTGCAGATCTGTTGCTGCTTTCAAGTTGCTGCATATGTAGCCCACCTGCAGCAGCAGCAGCAGCAGCAGCAGCAGCAAATTGCATTTACTTCATTTTCTTCCTTTCCCAATTCCACTTTCTCCGCCAATCCACAAAATCCATTCATCCAAAATAAAACGCCCCGGCGTCCAGGCCTTCTTTTAGTCCACAAGAAGCTCCATGCATGCATACATGCATGCATGCATGCATGCATGCATGCGATTCAATGCATGCATACATGCATGCATGATGCATGCATGCATAAATACGAATTGTCAAAAGGTCCTTTCGCAGCAATTTGTCTTATAAAAAGAAAAAGTGCAGTAATTAAATTAAAAAATAAATTTTGAAGATGGCGCATTTGTGCAAAACCTCCCAGGTGTACGTACAGCTGAAGAGGCCACGCGGCAGATTTGCATTTTTCATTTTTTCATTTTTTTAATTTTCAGCTTTGAATAAATAATTTCTTTTTCAAGAAACGAATGGCATTTAATTCTTTTAATTTAAATGCCTTTATAATCCGGAATAAAATCGGAAAAGGCCTCTGACGCTGTGCATACACCGCGGAGCTGTCCATACACCCGAAGACGCATGCAGACTGCCGAGGTGTCCATACACCCCATACACCCCAGTGCATGCGTTTGAAGACCCACTTGTCCAGTTCCAAGTCGATCAGTTTTAAATCTTTCCGGCATTAAAAATCCAACTTCTTTTATTTGCAGCTGCCGCCCAGATCGAATGGCCGTCACACTGTCTCCAGTCTTTATGCGGCCCTCCTGCAGCAGCAGCAGCAGCAGCAGCAGCAGCAGTCGTAGCACCACCAGCAGCAGCACTAGCAGCGCTCTTGCAGCAGCAGCAGCTGCAATGCAGCAGATGCAACAGGTGTAGACAGGCCTGCCCCACGCTGGCTTGCACGCAGCAGCAGCAGCAGCAGCTGCAGCAGCAGCTGCAGCAGCAGCTGCAGCAGCAGCTGCAGCAGCAGCTGCAGCAGCAGCAGCATACGTGTGGGGCCCCACAGCAGCAAAAGGCTCACCTTAATAGCCGCCACGAGCACTACCCCTTTTAAAGGGTCATAAAAGCTGTCAAAGACCAGCGCCCTCAGGGGGGCCTCCGGGGGCCCCTTGGAGGGGCCCCTCTTTGTTTTATCTGCTGCTGCTGCTGCTGCTGCTGCTGCTGCTGCTGCTTCTGCTGCTGCTGCTGCTGGAGGCGGAGGCAAAACTCTTACTATAGCTTCCAGCAACTCGTCAATGCCTGCAGCTCCCCACTCCCTAAACCCTAAACCCTAAACCCCAAACCCTAAACCCTAAACTCCAAACCCTAAACCCTAAACCCTAAACCCCAAACCGAAAACCCTAAACCCGAAACCCTAAACCCGAAACCCGAAACCCGAAACCCTAAACCCTAAACCCTAAAGCCTAAACCCTAAACCCTAAACCCTAGGGTGTTTAGCGGGGACTATTAGCATTACCTTTTCCCGTTTTTGCAGAAACTTCAAGAATAGAGTCCGGGGGGGCCCCCACGAGGGCCCCCAAACTTTCTTTGAATTCTTTTAGCTGCTGCGGAGACTCCGCAAGGTCCACCTGAGGTGTACGTACACTCCAACCCCACACAGCCTCCACAGTCCAGCAGCAGCAGCAGCAGCAGCAGCAGCAGCAGCAGCTTGAGCTATCACAACACCAGCAGCAGCAGCAGCGGCCGTAGCAGCAGCAGCAGCAGCAGCAGCACCAACACCATAACCAGCAGAACCACCACCATCATCTGCAGGGGCAGCAGCAGCAGCAGCAACCAGCAGCAGCAGCAGAAGCAGCAGCAGCAGCAGACCTTGGAGATGACGGGAATGAGGGGAAGTTTGAAAGACTTTGCTTTTTGGAAGAGCAGCAAAGTTTGAAGTGGCAGCAGCTTTTGGGAAATGTCCAGCAGCAGCAAACAGCCTTCGCTCGCGCCCAAACTCCGGCGAACTTCAAACGCGAAGTCCGCGTGGCCTGGAGACATAATTAATTAATTATTTACTTGATTTAATTATTTAATTACTAAATATTTAATTAGTTATTTAATTAATTAATTATTTAACTTAAGTAATTAATTAATTAGCCATTTAATTAATTATTTAACTAATTAATTATTTAATTTAATTATTTAATCTAATTATTTAGTCTAATTAATTTGTTATTTAATTAAATTAATAAATGTAATTTAATTTAATTTAATTAATTTGATTTGATTTGATTTGACTTGATTTGTTTAAATTAATTTGATTTGTTTTATCTAACTTGATTTGATTAGTTAGATTTGTTTGATTGATTTAATTTGATTTATTTCGTTTAGTTTTATTAATTTGATTCAATTTAATTGGATTCGTTTGAAGTAATTCATTCAACTAAATCTAATTTAGTTAAATTAATTTAGATGCATTTATTCAATTCAATTTATTTATTTTGATTTAATTTGATTAGTTTGAACTGATTTCAATTCATTAATTTGATGCAATTTAACGACCTGGAGTGTCAATGAGATTCAGCATGTAAAAGTCGTTTTCTTTCTCGGGATCGATCGATCCCGATCTCGATCCCGATCCCGATCCCGCGGGATCGGATCCCATGGGCCTGCTGTAGAGCAAAGAACAAGTCCGCGCCCTAACTGTTATCCCGCGGCTGCTTTCAACTTCTGCAGAAATAAAAAAATAAAGAAACCAAAAAGGAATTAAAAAGAAATTAAATATAAACTAAAAATAAAATAAAAAT